TGAAACGTTATTACAATTTTAAATAACTCCTGTTGTTTTTGTATTTTAGACTGTAATTTATTGAAGAAACATTTCTGATTATCATCAATGTTGAAAGCAGTTGTGCCACTTTATTTTTTTTGAAACTGTGATTAGAAAAATACAAATTGATAAATACAAATTTCAAAAGAACAGCATTTATTTGAAATATAAATTTTTCGTAACATTATAAATGTCTTTATTGCCACTTTTGATCAGTTTCATAAATCTTTGCTGAATTAAGGCAATACACATCCTGAACTTTATTACCTTAAGACAGATTTTGCATTTTGTATGAAGTATTCCAGACATCTAATTTCAGACAGTAAACAACACATTATATCCCAAGAGTGTTTTAGACAACAGTTTGTAGATTATTCCTTACATGTGAACATTTAACCATTATGCAATACTCCTTAGACGTCAGAAAGCATGACCCTGGCCTCAAGACCAACTGACCAGAACAACAAGGCTTTAGGAGTCCTGTCCTGACCACTCCGTATGGATGGCTTTGGTTTACTTCGGTTACTACAATGGTTGCTTTTATGACCAGACTCCATATCCCAAACCACGGAGTTCATCACCCATAACAATTTTCCCAGTATTAAAAGACTTCTCACAAAAGCAAAATATTAACTTTGATTTGGGGGGCATTCAACAATAATACAACAGGAAAAATTTGATCGCCATGCATTGTGCACACTGTGCACACAAAAGTGTTGTTTGTTTCTTTGATAATACGTTCATAATGAGTAACAGAAATGATTCTGATCCAAACTTCCACTTGTCCATGTCATTTTCTTCTTTAATAAACATACTTTTTTTTTTTATTTAGGCCAAATTATATACTAATATTTATCTTTAAATAATTAGGTTTGATTACAAATTACCTCATCAGTCTTGTATAAACATAATCAAGAATGCTGAATGATTTTTGTCGTTCTAGACCAGCTCTCAAACTTTGGAAGACCATTATGAGGAATTCAAATACAAACATTTCAAGTAGTACACTACTTATACAAATGATATCTCTTAATCTCTATACTAATGTGATGAACACATAATTTTGGCCATCTGCCGTTTTGTTCTAGGCTCATTTAAATTAACTACACTGCAACTTTTAGCTAATGAACCAAATAAACCAACAGTTCACAATAAGAACTGGATAACTGACATTTCTTTTATTGAAGTAGATGTTTAAAGTCAAGGTATGTCTATGTGCTGTTTTTAATATGCTTTAAGCCAAACAAAAGCCAGACACCATTGCGGAGTATTTTCTCCTTAAAACTGCAGTGAAACAAAGATAGTCTCGAATCATGGCTCGAAGTCACTGGTGTTTCTGACGTCACAAACTACCTTGTAACCAATCATGCCAAGATGTGATCATCAACGAGTGGATCTCTAAACTAGTGTGAGTGAGTGGAGGCAGGGCTAAAACCGTTTAAATATGTCATTTTGGTGATCAAAGTTAAGGGATCAAATTATTGAATACAGGGAGACATTAAGCCTGGGACACACCAAGCTGCACACCAGCTCCTCAAAAGGAGAAACCGAAACGAGTATAGGGCTATATGAGATATACGGAGAAATGGAAAACGTAAACACTTGAATATCAGTTATGTTGATAACTTTCTTCATTTTAAGCAGCTTATGCAGTTATGAAAATATTCACGTTTTGGAATGCTTGGGGTAGGATCAGCTGTGCCGTCTTGAATTGCTCTCATCACTTTTGCTTTAATTCTTCTCATGCACTGATTCGTTCACTAAACACAACGACGGCCTTAACACAACATTAATGTTAATTTTTTTTTTATTTATTAAAGTGTCTTGCACTTACATGCCCAGCTCAAATTTAAAAGACACTAATGACATAAAACAAACATAATACAAAAAGATGACCATCATACAACGCACATAGGAAGATGACCATCATAAAAGATTCATTTATTTGAATATTTTTGAATATTTTATGGAATATTTTGAAGATTGTTGGTAACCAAACAGTTTTGGTCACAATTTACTTCCATACGGACAAAAAGAACAACTGCAGTTTCTCAAAATATATTCTTTTGTGTTTCACAGAAAAACGAAATTGATACAAATTTGGAACGACACGAGGGTGTGTAAATGATGACACTATTTTTGTCTTAATTATCTCTTTAAGTCATTGTTATCAGGTGATAAACTCAATCTTGGTGCTTATTGGGTCTTTTTTTGGTAAGCAATCACCTCAAAGACCACTTAGAATCCTTGAAAACCACAGTACTAATATCAGCAAATAGTGTCAATTGATAAATGAATCTAAGAGGGTACAGTGGCAAACCATTGAAAGGTCTTAATATGAATTATGCACTCAGTGACCTGCACTCCTACCTTTCCTTCCTAAATTATAGTTTATTTACTAAACATAAAACACACACACCTCATTTATTTCTTGTTAATATTCTTGACCTTACACTTTGAGTGGCATACCTTTAATACATAAAAACAAAACCCAGAGACGGGTTTGGTTTTGTAAACTAGAAATTCAGCCAAAGCGATACACTTGATGATAAAAGTAGGGTGCAAGGTTATAGATTTACACATGCAGCCAAAAGTAATATCGGCCTAACCTGTTAAGTCAGATGGGCATGACTTTGCTGCGCTGTCATTGCAGGTGACTTGTTCCTGAATGCCCTCATTGACACTTCATGACCATGCAGTTCATTTACTGACTAAACTTGTTATAAAAATGAAAAGGTTCTTACAATGGGGATATACAATACAAACAAATCAAATAAACCACAAAGTCACTGAAAAAGTCACAGGAAGAAGGTTTTTGATTTTCTCAATAGCATAACAACAAGCATCGCTTTCTTTTGAAGGAGATCCGATATTAATATCCCATGACAACAAAATTTGTAATATGCTTGGTTACTAAGGTGCAATAAGGGGAATAACGTGCCACCACCATGAAAATAACACCAAAGAAAAATACATTCTACACCTCAGTCTTAAAGTGAATGACCGGTGTTGAACAACACTGTGAAGGAGAAAAACAACCTGTTTTCTGGGATTCTTTTTATTGGGATCATGTGGTCGTTGCATTTATTTACAGAGTGCTATTCGTAACTCACGTGTACACACATAAGCTTTTTAGATAAGAAATGTTGGGTGATAAACTAACACGCCATAGAGCTAACCTAAAAACAAAAGGCGCAATTAACAGTGCCAAGTGGGATATATTAAAATCCAGATGCAATATGCAATTTTTTACATTTCTGTCCATGCTCATGATAAGCACTGAAATACAGTGGCACTTTTGAGTTATTAAAATAAAAAGTTAAATAAGAAAGTATTAGAACATCAAACCTTGTTATCAGTGGTCAATAAATTATATTTTTGACTGTAATTGCTGAGTCATGGATGTATCCACTGTGTTTTGTTTTTTAAAGGTGAAATAAGCGGGAAATATGGTAAATATGTTATACAAATATCTAAATTAGCCTACTTAGTGATGAGATGATAAATCAAATGAAAAAATAGCAACTAAATTAGGAAATGTATTTCTGGGCATTAGCACTGTCACAAAATAACCCCCTCATCATAAACAGGGGTTATAAACTTAATGCAATATCTCATTTTGCAACATCTCATCATAAAATATTTTTTTGTTTTACATTAAAATTATATTTTGTGCTTTAGCCTACCAACTTAATATTCAAGAACTGACACTTAATTTCCCTACGTCACAATAAACGTGTAAGTTAGGCCTATGACGGACATTACAACTGAGGAAGTCGAAAACGCTTGATTCAATTTAAAAATCATTAATCAGCTCATTAGTGGGAGTTGTGAGCGGAAATAAGTGAACAAACAGAACCTAGACAACTGCCAACCAAGATAACATTTTAGACATTTAGGCACGCGCGGTTATGACACACACAGTAAGGCGCAATCATAGACATGTCATACACCAAATATACAATGAAACGGGGGTAATCAGTTCCAGTAGGCTACCGTCCATAAGCTATAAAATGAATAACCCTAATTCACCTTCACATAGAAACCGAAACACCTCCTGCATGCTGTCAGTGGATAGCCTGTCTAGATTTTACCTTTTTATTCTCGTCAATCTCAAAGCCCTAACAGAAACATCCACTCAAAATGTACACTACGACCAGTTTAAATCAATGCAATTAATTACCGGTACTATCTTTTTTTTTTTTGTCGCTCAACTCCCCGGACGCATGATATTTAAACAATCGAACGACATGCAAATCTGAAATAAATACCGAAATCTCCGAGATGTTAACTAATCTTGTGTGTGGCTGGTTACTCCACGCTGTGGTAACCAAAGGGATATATTCAGACGAGCTCGCTACAGGTTGCTCTCCAAGAGCCGCGATAAAATGGTCAGGTTAAATTGGATTTAATTCCCATCCTCAGAGTCGCAATCCCAGCGAAAGCGTCCGGCTGTATGGCACTACAATGAACGGCAGATTCACGATTAATTAGCCTAAATACCCATTTAACCGTTCAGAGCGATTTATTTGATCAATATGTTCATTGAAATACAGATTAAAATATGACCTGGAGAAGCGCGAGTTTACAGTCTGATAAATGCGCGTCAACATCAGTATAAACAGGGGTTGTCCGTGCATAACTGATAGATATAGCAGCAAAGTTTAAAAATGCGAAAGCACAGAGATATAACGTTAGCGTCTGCAGGGATTAAATCATGCGATGCATAAGAAGTGTCCGGGCTTTAAATCGGTTGCGAACATTTGGCAGCGCAACATCGTACACTCCCCTTGTCTCACTAGGCTAGAACAAATGTGGGTCACCGGGCCTTCGGATTCTTCCCAGGCAAGCATTAAAAAACACACCACCGTATTTTCACCGCAAGTACGCTTGAAACAAATCCGACACGAATACGACACTAGAGCTCCACTGCTCCTTCTCAAAATAATGCTATCTTTCAAACCCGCTTGTGCTCTTACCTCGGTTATTTGCCGTCCAGGAGGGGGATTTTCTTGCGCCTTGTTTTGGTTGAGACGGCAGTGTAGGATTGAACTAGAGTTAGAAAAACAGCAGGGCCTACCCTAGGCTTCCTACGCGCATGCGCAGTACGATCAGAGCTGAATCCCACACAATCTGGCAACACACAGCTAGACCTGGCTTCTAGTTTCTATGCGAGTTTTTTTAATTACTTGTCATTGTATAGATTAGAATAGAATGCATAAACAATAAACAGACAGATAATTCAAGAATGAAATTCAATATATATATATATATATATATATATATATATATATATATATATATATATATAAGAGGCACAACTGGGAACATACAGGACACCGAAATGTCATAAACAGTAAACAGAAAGGTTAATTAGCGCCAATGGGATTAAATCATAAAATATGTAGCCTAGCAGATCATAGAGAGTGCCTAAAATGGCTTGGGTTATTAACAACAGATAAAGGATAAATCTGTCCACCATTATAGAATTAATAAAAAATAATAATAATTAAAATAAACAAATAAATAAATAATAGAGATAGGCTATCTATCTATCTATCTATCTATCTATCTATCTATCTATCTATCTATCTATCTATCTATCTATCTATCTATCTATCTATCTATCTATCTATCTATCTATCTATCTATCTATCTATCTATCTATCTATCTATCTATCTACCTACCTATCTACACAGTAAGCCTATATAATAGTAGGCTACGACAGCTTTAGGCTAAATCTAAACATCATCAGCATTTTTACATTCGAACCATAAATAAAGTTTTAAAAAAATCCTGCACATTTTTGTATTTCCTACTAGTAGCCTGATGAGTTTTAAAGTGAAGGAGTAATTTTTTGGAGTAATTAACCTAACTATAAAACGTACACGAAATGTATCACTAAAATGCTTGACATTTTTACCATCTGAAATCATCTATCTGAAATCACTAGGCTATTTTTATTTTTTGCTATAGCTTTGGTCTTTCTCGAAATGCGATTTAGCTCTTCTGTTTGAAGTTATTAACCTATGCTGCCGTAGCGGTTTTAAAGTTTCAGTTGTTTCAAAATGACAATACCTTATCTTTTAATGATTGTGTGTTGGTGTGAATTGTGTGTTATACAAACGTTCCTAATCTTTGGCCCACATGTGTCGTTCTCTCTCTCTTTCTTTCTCTCTCTCTCTCTCTTGGCCGTATGCCAATTAGGTCAAATACGCACGTCAACCAATCTTGAAAGTGGCACAGCGCCAGGGACGTTGGAACTATTTTGTGAGAGGGGGGGCGGGATTCCCGGTGGGGGGGGGGGGGGGGGGGGGGGTCTGTCGGAATTACGCACCGTTTCAAAATATTGGTATTAAATCAATTTTCTGAGAATTTATCAGTCAACTTGTTGATTAAAACGATTGATTAAAATGAAATACAATTTATAAAAACGAAATTCTTTTAAAAAACATAATAAGTCGGAATTACTGTGGGCTATGTCTGACCCATTCCAAATGTTTTCCGATATGGTGACTCTACTGATGGACCGCTCCTTGATCCATCAGTGCTTGAGTCACCATCGGAAAATAAAACGTTTTAAACATGAATAAAACATATCCTGTTAAGCAGAGCATTAATTTAGTTCGTTTAAATAAGAGTTCTAGCGCTAAAATGTTTTGTTTTTGAAATCAAGAGGAACGCTTGTTGCCGCTGCTGTCAGTAGGCTATGTTCTCTGTGGCGCGCAGTCTTCACTCGGACGCGCACTTTAATCGCCTTTACGTCGGAGACTCTATTCATTCCGGTAAAATCACAAAATAAATGTGTCCTATGCTTGATATTGACTGTAACCACAGATGGACATATTCTGTTTTGATGAGAGAGAAAAAAAACTGTACCTAGGGCGGATTAGAACCCGTAACCTCTGGCACTCTGGGCAAAAGAGCTATCACTAGACCATTCAAACGGTCAAATGAAGTGTGGCGGATCGACTTATTTATTTATGGGTTGAATAGAAAGGCTGCACAGTTTGACAAGTTTGTACCCAGCACTTCCGAATGTGTCTCTGTGCCCAGCAAATTTCAAACTGACGCCCGTGCTTAGGTGAATTTAGGGGGCGGCCGGGGGAGGGGGGCGGCCGTAGGAGGGGGGGCGGCCGCCCCTCCCGCCCCCCCTGTTCCAACGTCTATGCACAGCGCGCGAAAATTTTAGTGCATGACGTATTGAATGACATTTGTCTTGTCCAATAGAAAGATGATGCGAGTGCGCGACATGCTGCGGAGCTGTTAAAAGCCAGGTATAATAGTTATAATTATATTATATTATATTGTTGCGAGAACCAAGGCAATTTCTAGGTAAAGCTTATTTAAAAACCTTTACTTGATTTGCATTAAGTCCATAAAGTACTAATTTTCTTAGTGAAAACATATGTAATGCTTCAGTGACATACAAATCAGTGGGGTTGAGAGCAGCACGCACAGACGTGTGGAAATTAGTGTTGTTTCTGTTAAATTAGTGACTGTTCATGTTTAAATATAACTCAACATGATGTGGACAATACAGTTCTATTATTTATGGTAAAAAAAAAAATCATCGGCCTATTCATTCGAATGATTAGCACATTTTGCACAATGTTTTTTTCGTTTTCTTCTTCTTTCTGCTAATTATTAAGTGAGTGACAGGGGGTCCGTGGAAAAGTCTAGTGAGCCTGAGGTAAATAAATAAATAGATAAATCAATAAATATTAAGATGATTAATATTAAAATAGATTAAAATAAATAAAGATGATTAATATAAATACTAAATTTTATTAAAATTAAATAAATAAACAAACAAATAAATAATAGGCTACATTTAACAGAGCACTATGAGTAGAAAAATACAGGCTACGTAGGCCTAAATATACCCTACGTACAAATACGTACGGCTGATATTATTGTTCTTGACCAATTTTAGATTTATAATAATAAAAAATTATAAAGGCTATATAAATTGGAGCCTACACTCGAGGATGATCATATTTGGGGGTCCATGGCATCTAATCTAATTTAAAATGGCTATTATTAGGCCTTCTGTTGTTGAAATAGTAACGATAGACATTAACTTAGCCCACTACTTTTTCACGACTGAACATATATATGAAAACATAATATTTATTTTACAAAATAAATAAAAAAAAATAGAAAAAATATCTGACTGTTTATCACGCACTGTTTCTATTGAGTGGAGATCTCGTGACACCCAGTGGCGCAAACCTTCAGACACGGTAACACAGTAACAAAATAACCACACGGTGGTGCTGTTATCATATTAAATTCATTATTATTAAACTTCTTGAACAAGGTTGGCTTGATTTTTCTGTTAGAAATTTACTCTCGCCTTAAACTTGAAAACATTACCACACTATACAGGGGAGAGCGGGCTAAGTTTCTGAGGTTTGGCTGCAGTGCTGGTTCAAACAATGGGTACCTAAATAATAAAGAAAGTATATGTAGCCTAATCTTTTAATATGTTTTTATTATTTGCCTGTGGAAGAAGTACAATTTAGCATAGGCCTACTTAGAAAAATACATTAAAGAATAGCCTAGTCTACTTTAGTGCGAACTGAATGAAATGTTTTTGGACAATAAACATGTTAATTAAATGAAAATATATATTTTTTTAAACAGCCTATTGAAATGTTTTATATTCATGTTATATTAGCCTAGGCTACTTTATAAGAAATTTCATACTTAGCCAACTTCAATAATTGTCTTTGAAATATGGTTAAAGTGTAGCCTACAGCTGAATGACAAGCTTTATGGTAAACTGAAATACTTATTATTGTATGTTATTTCTATTGAAAATTGTATCATAGCCTATATAAACATGTTTGTAATTACACATTTGTAAATAATTGAGTTGCAATTTAAATTTTTTTTAAATGTATTAACTTTAAATGTAATAGCCTAATGAACAACAGACTGCAGTTAAAATTAGTCAAGTCATCAAATCAACACAGTAAAAAAAAACTTGCTGTCTCAAATTTTCAAAGTACAATCAACATTTCAACTTAAAAATATAACACTGGAACACTGACAATTGAGTCGAATCTCATATAACTTTAAAAATAGTTTAAAATAGCTTAATTTATTTTGAAGAGTTAAAGTAATGTAAAAACACTTGATCATGTCATTTTTTAAAGTGTAGGCTACTTGTTTAAAAATTATTAAAATAATGATTTGAAATCTAATTTGCAGTAAAACTTTTGATTGGACATTTCTATAAAGTGTATGAAGAGTTCAGATGCAAAAGCCTCTCTATTTTCATCTTTAATGATGATTTTTATCAAACTTGTATATTTAAGTTCAGTAATTTCACTTAAATAACAATTAATAGGTAATCTTCATTGCCATTTAAGTGAAATTACTGAACTTAAATATACAAGTTTGATAAAAATCATCATTAAAGATGAAAATTTCAAATGGCATTTAGAGGCTTTTGCATCTGAACTCTTCGTATGCTCTTTAAAAACACTTAAAGGACAAGTTCGGTATTTTACACTTAAAGCCCTGTTTTAAGATCGTTTCTTATGAAATAGAATGGACTGAATTGAATAGCCCCTAGACAATAACAAAATAGATCTTCAGCAGGTTCTGTATGTGTTTCATTTGTGTATTTTTCTCATGCCCTCAGATTAATTGCGTTCGACGTCTTTTCACAACCCCGAAGCTTCCTTTTTCACACCCAGCCCACTACAAAACACCCACTAACTAATGTGTTACGAGTTATACCCTCGGGTCTGTCTAGAAACCGGTCAAGTGATCTTCCACATATACGCACACCCATGTTTTCTGTCACAAGTTTCTTGAAGGAAATGCAGTCACGATCCATGACGTAATCCATGGCCCCTGTTCATCCTCACATGACAACATCTTAATAAACACATTTATGAGAACAATAGACCATAAGCAAGATTCAGCTAAACCGATAAAGGACTGAAAAGAGACGTTTATCAGAAAGGATGCCGTTCTTGAAACATGCTGTTTGGATGGTCAAATCTAATTAAAATGGAAGTAATCGGAAGTGTAGTTTGATTAATGCTTTTTTTTCTAATTGTTGTAGATAGTATGATAACAAAAACACACACATTCATCAGGAGAAAGAGGAAATGAGCAACCAGAGTCCCACTAGTGCTTTCCAGAAATAACTGAAGAGAAAAAAAAAAGATTTATTTCTTTGTTTTTGGTGGGAAAACCCCGTACAGTCAATTTGGTCAAAATCACACTGGCACGATGAGGAAACATTTTATAATGCTTTTAATTCAAAAGGCACAGCACAGTTACACAAACAGGACATCAGGACAGATAAAATAGGCCTACTTTATTTGGATTCTGTACATTCAACATCATAATTTAACAGGAGGGTGTTTTCTGGAACGAGTTATGTGGATATCAGGTTGACTGGCTCAGGATCATCACATCTGTGGCAAAGGGTCTGGTGCTACTGATACTGTTAATGAAGAAGAGACCTATGTTTTTCATAGGTTTAAGTTCACACACCAATGGCATTAAAGACCAATGAACTGTATCATATGGAAATGTATATTGTATTGTTGTAGCCTATATTTTCAATGTTTTTCTTTATTTTTGTCCCATGATTCTATCTAGACCCATGCAGTGCACTTGTAGAAAACACATGAGATTTTTGAAGAAACATCTTTAAATGATTATCTCAGTTCATCGTGAAATACCTGATTTTTCCATTCTTTATTGTTTTACACATACTCAGCAGCTCTTCTTCCATTTCGTGGCTGCGGAGAAGCACAAAGAAAAAGAAAACTTTACCATGGTAAAGCATTTAAAAACGATTTTCACAGGATGAATTCTGAATGTTTAAGCTTTCGAATGATAGCTAATTTATGATTACGACAGGGGGAAAAGGCAATAAAAAGAGCGTCAAGCATCTGCTTGCGAGACGGTGACAGTTAAGGGGTTTAACTCAAAACTTAATGAAAGTACTGTAAATAAAATATTCCTCATTGTGTTGGACAATAAACAACTGTCATATGCCTATACCCGATAAAGGAAGTATCCTCTGCTCTGGATCCGTCCAGGCCCTTGGAGATCATCCTGCACACAGAAGGAATTGTTATAGTTATGCTCATATCAGACTGTGCACTTTCTGATGCTGCTACTGAGCACTGTTTAACTCTTTCTGAGTCGAAGGTGAATCAAAGGTCACGGCAGTGTTGGTAAGAGGGAAAAACAATTTATCTACCCAACAAAATCCATCAAGACCATTTCCTTTATGAGAATGAGGCAGTCATCATTTATTCTTGTTCAGTTTTGTGTTTTACCCTTATAGCACAATAACACTTTTAGCGTACAATTTCCTCTAAAATGGACAGAAGCAGTTAATCAAACTAAAGTCGAGCACATCCTGTACATTTAATTAGATGGACTCAATCTCATGCATGCACATGTCAGCCTCGTGCAGCTGTGTATGTGTACAAGCATGTAGAAATGCATACTTTAAGTTAAATATTAAAAATATTTAACCCACTGGGAATGTAAAATTAATATAATGAATAAATATGTTGCATTTAATTTAATTGTCAAAAAATCCTGAACAAAATGTATCATGTTTCCACAAACACATTAGGCAATTCAACTGTTTTTAACATTTATAATAATAAGAAATATTTCTTGACCAGCAAATTAGACATTTAAGACTGGAGGAATGATGCTGAAAAGGCAGCTTTGAATATATATGAATAAATTACTTTTTAAAATATATTTAAGTAGAAAACTTTCCAGTTACTGGACGTAACCAATGTAAACTTGGATGCTAAGAATTCAGCTTTGCCATTACAGGAATAAATTACATTTTAAAATTCAAAGAGAAAACATTCCAGTTACTCGATGTAAATAACATAACCTTATGGGGGTTCCGCTTATGGGGAAAAACTTTTTCTTGTTTTTCTCTGAATACTGAAGCCTGATTGGTTCACGCCAGACAAAAGGCATTTAAGCCCACAGAAACGGGCAGAGCCGACTAAGTCGCGCTGAAAGCCATTTTCATCAGAATTTGTTCAACTGAGGTGTGGCAGCGTTGACTAGTGCATATGTGTCAAGATACGCAATGGAACCAGGGAACATCTCGGTTACATATGTAACGCTCGTTCCCTGAGTAGGGAACAGAGACATTCCAGGTGCGTTCCATTCGACCGTAAGTGGACTGCGAAGTGGACTTCACAGGGTATTGTGCCATCTTAAGTGAGATTCCAATTCGAAGGGAACGAACATGTTCAGTTCGAAGGGCACTGCAAACGGCATAGGGAATAAGGGAACATCGATACATCACTTCACAGGAAGTCAGTGAAGTCCACTTGAACTGATATACTGTGTTCAGGGAGTAGGAAGCAGTGAACACTGCGTAGGGACCCTGTCGAATGGAACGCACCTCACGTCTTTCTGCCACCTTCTGCTGTATCACTGGAACAGCCGAGTTTAGTCTTGGCTCCTCAGCGAAGAACCATGCCTGCATGTTGTGGCGTCCTCCTTTTTATACCCCCGAGGAAAGGCGGAGATATGCTATGCAAAATCCGCAGACCCATGGCATTTCTTTGCCATTGGCTCGTTTTGTAATTCTAAGCGAAACCCCATTCGTAATGACGGAACTCAGAGTGACAACGAAAGGGAACCAATGTTACATTAGTAACCGGAACACTCCACTAGATCAAGCCCAGAAGCGACCATTCCCCTGGGGGTTTGGGTCTTCACCCTGATAGGGCACTGCAAGTCCAATAAATTGTAAGCTGGTGCTATTGCATCCACTATCCAGTGGGATAGTCTTTGCTTCGTAAGAAGGCAGCCCCACTGAGTGGCCTCCGAAGCACACAAACAGCTGCTCTAACTGCCTGAACTGGCAAGAACACTCAATGTACAGTACACCTTAAAAGCTTGAACCGGGTGTGGGTGGGGTGGGATCTTCTATTGCCCTCGGTAGAGGGGAGAGCAGAGAGTGAAATGACTTGTGCTCTAAAGGGTGTAAAAAGTTTCTTAGGCACATAGCCTCGTCTAGGCCTAAGGACAATTTTACTGTCATTGGGCCCAAACTTGAGGCCTGGAAGCATCTAGTGAAAGAGCCTGCATATCAACAATTCGCTTGAACAATGCAAGAGCCAGCAGAAGGGTGGTCTTTAGTAACAGAGGTCGAAAGTTGACTGTCCTGAGTGGCTCAAACAGAGGGCCACAAAGTGCCCTCAGGACAATGGACAGGTTCCAGGTAGAAACCGTGTTGGGGCAAGGTGTGTTTAGCTTCCTGGTCCCCCTGAGAAATCTGACCACCAGGTCGTGTTTCCCAACCAACTAGCCAGCTATAGGAGTGATGCATGCCGCAATAGCTGCCGTGTATACCTTGAGTGTGGACGGAATGTGTCCACCGTCCAACAGCTCCTGTGGGGATAAGAGAATAGAAGCGATCTCACAAGACAGAGGGACTACATTCCGAGCTGAGCAACAGACGGAAAAAAATTACCAGTTTTGGGTGTAAGGGGTGCCTGGTAGAAGGCTCAGAGATTAGGTTCATGACCTCCAAAGAAAGATGTAAAGGCTCACAGATGGAGGCTAGTCTGGGCACGCATACCACTGGTGGGGAGGACCCAGTACTGACAGCAAACACAACGCCTCCAATTCCCAGAACTGAACAGGGTTTAAGAGGTGAACACATAGAAACTTTGAGGGTGGTCCAGCCTTGGCGGGACTTAGCAGCATCCTCCTCCTTGTGCCCGAGGCATCAGGGCTGCTTGGGCGGATCGGGGTCCAGCACTAGCTTAGGACAGTGTCCTTGGAGCTTGGGAAATGGGTAGCACTTAGTTGGATGGAAGTGCTGCTTCACCCCTGGTTCCACCTTTTGCTGATGCTGAGTGGGTGTGGAAGCCAGCTTGGCGGGCTGCTGAGTCGTTGACAACTTAGGACGACTCGAAGCAGCAGAGGAACTTGCCGACAGGAAATGGCGCATCACTTTTGATGTCTTCTGTGCCGTGGTAAAACGTTCAGCAAAATGGTCTGCGGAACCAAACAAACCAGAGGGAGAGACAGGGCAGTCCAGGAGTCAGCGTCCTTGATCTCCGTTAAGTTTAACCAAAGGTGGGGGCTCGAGGACCACCAAATTGGCCATGACATGACCAATCTTTTGGGCCATAGATTTAGTGGCTGCACAGCTTCTCGAAGGCCGCTGAGTCAGAACCACTCTCATCCATGGCACAGAGAAGCTTTACTTAGTAAACTTGGAGGACCGTCATGGTGTGGAGAATGGAACCAGCCTGGCCACTCAGGGCATACGCTCTGGTCGTGAGTACAGATGTCGCTCTGCACGGCTTAGTCGGGTGGGCAGCTTTAGTCTTCCAGCTGAGGCCCGCAGGTGGGCAGCGATGCGCAGTTATGGCTTCTTCCAGCGGGGGAAGCTAAGTATAGACTTTTTCTTCATGCCATTAACCACGCCTTGATTTCGTTGGTACTTCATGGACTTCCTCTGGAGCTGACTAATTGAAGCCCAACTCGTTAATGGTCTTGGTAAGGACACAGATGAGCTCTGAGTCCTGCTGAGTCCGTCTTTTCAGGTGGTGGACGAGGTGGAGTCATTGCCGGAGTTCACCCAGCCCTCCGCTTCAGGTGCAGCCAAAGACATTCAGTCATCAAAATTGCCCTCGGAGCCGCAAATTGAAACCAAACCATTTCACACCAGATGAGGGGCACTGGTCATTGCGGGTAAAGAGCACAAGTGAAGGGAGGACGAGGTATGTGGGCAGTGGGCCGACAGGAGCTTGCTACAGCCTTGCTGCTCAGTCCCATGGCTACTTTTGCCTCGGCTCGACAGGGGAAGAGAAATGGAGATTGTGCGAGGCAGGATCGCTCTCTTTAAAGAAATAAAGTGAGGACACTCCACAAAGTGAGTGCAACAGTGTGAGATTCATGCTCCTGCAGTGTGAGCAGCTGGTCTCAGTGAAAACAGCCTTGGCTTGGGTGTGTCCCAGGGATGCGATGCACTTGGTGTGCTCGTCCGAGGGAAGCAGGGGAGCCCCGCGTGCACATTCATGGTGTGATATTTTAGAAGGAAAATTGCTCGTTGAGATTATCGCCGGAAAGCCGAAAGGAAGAAGCGTTGGATCAGCTGCAGCTGCGAAGTGCCGTTAATCCGATGCCCGGGCTTAATTCGACAGCAAGTAGAAAGGCTTTATATCTTCTCTCTGGAGTCAACAAGGAGATGATCTTCGAGCTTGAAGGAGAAAAATGGCTTTCAGCACAACTTAAATAGGATGTGTGCCCTCCCTATTTTGGTGGGCTGAATCAATCAGGTCTTAGTATTCGACTTTCCCATAATTGTCAGAAACTGACACAATGCGAGTAAACCGTATAACAATTATTTTAAAATAGAAAAAAACATATTTCACAATATTACAGTTTTACTGTATTTTTAAAAAACTTACCTTGAAACGTAAGTGTAATTCTTCTATATGACATAAATTAATATACAAAAACTAATAATATATTAAGTTTAATATATTAGGTTCCACATATATCTATCAAGATTATTCTATAACATATATCTTCTATTCTATCCTCGATCTATCTATCTATCTATCTATCTATCTATCTATCTATCTATCTATCTATCTATCTATCTATCTATCTATCTATCTATCTATCTATCTACGTAAGTACATGTACTGTATTAGATTAAAATGGGAAGGGTCATAGTACTTGCATGTTGTTGTCCTATTGTTAGTTTAACTGCTTCTGTTGTTCTCATTTGTAAGTCGCTTTGGATAAAAGCGTCTGCTAACTTATTAAATGTGAATGTAATGTAAATGTATATATGGATTGAAAAAGGTAGTTTGACTTTTATGTCAAAATCAATGTTTCCATCATCAACCACAGAAAGAGAAAGGTTGTCATATTTGTGGTGTATAAACAAAGATACACAAACTGTCTGTTTTAATAATAATTAACACTTTAATAATTAACACTTAACACACTTAATTAAATCAACAATTACTGATGGTCATAAGAGAAGCCCTAGAGCTAATTCGTGATGAGATATTATCAAACAGCATATGGCCTTTCATCAAGCAGCACAGAGGATTGAGAGGAACAGACACTTCAGTCAGTCTCCATGAACATCCCTCTAAAGTTACATAGTTTTTTTTTTATCATGCATTTACCACAGAATTTAATACGTAATGGTCATGGACCCTATTTAGTATCAGGGAAAAAAACCTCAAGAGCATAATTCCTCCATAATAATAATAATAATAAACGTATTCAAAATATTCAAATAGATAATTAGGGGACAAAAATGAATTCTTTTTTATATATATTTAGTACAGCTAATTTTCCTAAACGCTAAACTGACTTTTGAATATATATTTGGTTTCTTGGAACTTACCCAAAACCAAATATTGATGCGGGAAAAGCATGTTTTGCATGTTTTAGTGATCATACTCACAGTGCTAATGTAGTCTGAATGAAGGTAAGCATGCAGGATACATACATTTAATTTCATTCTCCTGCTTCTTCTTCTGGCAAGCTGGGGTATGAGCTCCAGAAGAGGGTGCAACACAGTAGACTGACACATACACATATATAGAGAGATATCATGAAGACAGATATGGAGAGATATGAAAACCATGAACAGCTGCTCCTGGGATTGGCCAGGGGTCGCAGAGAGGACTCTTGTGCGTTCTCTCGCGCACTTATCTGTCCTCAGTGCGGCTCAGTGTTCATTTGGCACACGTGGTGCACTGATGTTCAGTAAAATCACAGGCATGCAGGCCATGCCAGAGCATGTGAGGGAACGTGAAGTTATGATGTCAACATCAAGGGATAATGTTTTTGTGTGTGTTTGTGAGTGGTACATTACAATTATGTTTCACCTGATTCCATATTTGAAACACATCACAAAACTGACATAAATATAAATTAATTCATAGAAACCTCTGCATGATACACATTTTCAAAAGATAACGCTTCTGTAATGTGGTGGACATGGAACAAATGGACAGTTTGGAAGAAATTAAGCAGTTCCTCTGATGGCATCAACACAATGGCATGTAAATTAAATTTGGAAAATATTAAGATAAAATTAGGTTCTCTTCTGGTTTGAGTCTAAACCAGAATTCAGATATTAATTCACCAAAAAAAAGTAAGTTATAATATAGGAGATAATTAATGTTCCTTTCCAAAATGTGGATGATATCAAGGAGGATGTCGGAGGTTAAATGCATGCAATGGGAACTAAAGAGTGGATAGTTTTATATGTATAAGAGTAAATAATCTGAATACTAAAGGGGACACTGTAGACTTAGTGGAAGCATTATGAAGAATATACATGGTAAAATAATAAAAATATATATTTTATATTTATACATTTATTTATTTGGTGTATAGCCATGTAATAAGTTCTGATCATCAAGGTTTTTTGCAAGTAATATTTTGGTTGTTTTATTTTATTTTAGTTAATTTCACGCATTGACTGTGCATTATCCTTTATGGGAATGTAGTTCAGATTTTGCTTTTGCACAAACTTGGCCCAAAAGGGAACTGTGCAGTGGCCTAAAATGTATTTAATTTACGTGACCTTTATTAAATATTAGATCAGAGATTGCCATTTGCAGTCGAGTGTTACTGAGGACAGTGCAGCGATGCAACTGTGGCTGAGTGCTGAAAGCAACAGACACTAAACAACTCTTGAGGAAACCTACCGTCTCATCTGTAAATCCTGCACCATTCGGTTTAGTGTAATGAAATAAGAACTATACATACATGTACAGACACACAAAACCATATTCACAGACACATACACAAAAAGGCAAACACCAAACAAAAATCAATACAAACAAAAACATGAAAAATATTCATACAATAATAACACCATAATCCATAAAAGACATCATGATGCCACTGAATTGTCATTGCATTGAATGTGTTTGAAAAAAAACGACCTCAAATGTCACATGCTCACCCTTTTGCTGGTCTCTCGGGCTGTGATGTCCTGCATTTATAAAAAGCAAACATTAAAATGAATCGTCCTTTTTTTAATCTATAAATTACAGGCTTTGCAAATTACTTAAATGTTTTTTAGTGTATCAGAATACATTAGCGACGGAATCTGTGGATGTTAGTATTTTCTTTATTATTATGCAGTGATTTTTTGGGGGAATGTGGAATGGATTACAGTAAATGCATTAAATGGAGTTAAGAGTGCTACAAGCTTATGGTAGCTGAAACTAGGCCTATTTAATAAACACACGTGCAAAAGTTGGCAGAGATGTGCAGAATATCTTCACAGTTCTACGCATGCTGGGCATAAAATTCACCTTCGATTTTTGCAGTGATCCCAGCATTAGGAAACACAGGTCCTCCAGGACATCAGATGTCTGGAAAAGGTTAAAAGAAAAGAAAATGGATTATGGACAGTTTAAATGTCTGAGACTGAGCCAAATGAGTCAAGTAACTAAATGATGTGCTGAAAGTTTTCATTTTCAAGTGAATTTCTACAGGCAATGTTTTTATATATATATATATTTCTCTATAATATTACGAACCATAATTCACTTTCGGTTTGCTTCAAAAACATACAAATAAGTAGCTGTTTTGCAAATGGCAACAACACTCCATTACTCACTCTAAAGGATGGGTCTGCGGAGAGGTAGAACGAGCAAAGATCAGTTATCTGAGAAAAAGACAAAAAGCTTGTATAAAAGAGATTCAAAGAACTAATAAAAAGTTACAACTCAAAATGAATCATGTCTCCTTTTTTGATGTTGTGTTTATCATTTCTCCAAATGCCCATAAACATGTTATTCTGCGCTTTCGTATCCCAGCCTCTAGATCCCCAGCTGTAATTGCTCATACACACAGTTAGAACATGTAAACAAAGCAGAGGTGCAATCATCACTTTGGTGGGCAAAGTTAACACTGAATAAATATGGGGATAAGTCATGATGAATTTTTGTCTCTGAGGAAATATAACTGGATGCAATAGAAGCGATTTGTTTGAAAAATAAAAAGAAAAGGACTATAAGTATTGACACTTAGTAGATCATACACACCTGGGTTAGTAACTGCTCATGCTCTATTGAAGATGGATTCAAGAGCACTGGAGCACCTGCAATTTATGCAGAAATCATTATAACATATATTCCATTACTTTTTAGTATGACAGAGAAATAATTGTTATATTTGCACATTGAGTTCTTCACTGTATGCTGTGGTCTTGTCCACTGTTAGTGACTTTTAAGTTTAAACTGGTCACGAGGCACAATTATTTGGTATATCTCAAATCTATATTCTAAAGCAATCTTCATTGTCAAGAGGTTTCTTGCAGTTGCATCACAACATTGCCAATGAAATCAATCTGGAATCCTTGACATCTGTAATCCTTGTGAGGTTTGGTTCGGAAATGAACTCATGCTTGTCGATTTTCTTGTTTTGGTGATTTTGCCCTCTTCCCTCAATGGAATAAGCTCTAATTTGGCTGAGTTTGATTGTTAAGTTTAATTGAGTTTGTTTATTGATCTATGTGTGAGTCTTTCAATCTGAAACCCCTGCTGTCAAAAGGTGTTTTCCTTGATTGATTTGTGGTCTGATAAAAGTCTTAGAATAGGTTATAAGGGTGGTTACGGATTTTCGACATCGGGCCTTATTTCCAAGTTAGCCTTAAGGCCTGTTCACATCAGGATGAATTTCGCTCGCGGACAACTAACGCCTTGTGACTAAAAAAAGGGCGCCAATGTGAGTGTGCACACCGGCGCGAAAAACACCACGCGTAAAAGCGTCATTTAAAAAAACTTGGGGGCACTCAAACACAAAACGGTCTTACCGAGCACACATACGTAACGGCGAAGAAAATATACGCCACCGTCTACATTGCCGGAAGACAAGGAAGATGCGAAGCAAGATATCTACGGGCAAGATGCATTTCTGTTTTACATTAAGCACCATCTAATGTCAGGGAATGAATTTGCATGTTCACTCGACTCATCGTTAGCAAACGCTTGGGTGTGAACACAAAAAACCCGTTGAAAAACGTTGGCGAATAACGCTGGCTGACATTCGTCCCGGTGTGTACGGGCCTTCAGTGTTATTTATCAGTGCGGAGACATTTTACAAAAATTTTCAACCTGTTGTTCCAGTTGCATAGTTCGCCGGTGCTAGGCTAGCACGACTCAACTGCTCGCCTGCTATATAAAAACAGTTTTACCTACTCCACAATACACGAAAAGCAAATAAATTATAGCACCAGACTATCAATGTAAATGTCTGTTGAGAGAATAATGTCAGAAATCGAACAACCCTTTCATTGCATTGCAATAGTTATACTTTGTTCCCTGTATTTATTAGCAGTCTACAACAGCGGCAGAGTGATATGTAGTTACCTAGGCAACTGAGAGAGGTAGTGAGAGAGAGAGAGAGAGGTAGAGAGAGGTAGTGCAGGTAGTCCCGACTGTTGTGTGCTTCGGTTCTGTTTCCTTTTCAGAAAAACTAGTTCCTGTAAATGTATTTTTGACTTCTAAATGCAAGTTTGATAGTCTGGCGTTATAGTTTATTTGCTTTTGGTGTACTGTGGAGTGGGTAAAACTGTTTTCAATGGCAGGCTAGCAGTTACCGTTGACTCGCACTAGCCTAGCATCGGCAAACTATGCAACTATAACGACTGGATGAACATTTTTGAAAACTGTCTCCACTGATAATAAATATCACTAAGGCTAACTTGGAAATGAGGACCGATGTCCAAAATCCTGAACAACCCCTTTAATCATTAGGCTGTAATTACACACCTAGTCAAAAAACAACAACACAAAAAAACAGTAGTAGTTGAAAAAAACCAATAAAGTACCAAAGAGAAAATACTTTACAGTTAAAAACATAAAGATGGTTCTTGTAAAATTTCAACTATCTCTTATGACATTTAACAATAATTTGTGATGCCATAATTCTATCTGTGTATCAATAAATAAAGTCACTTTTGTCTAATCTGAGAACATCTCTCATGGCTGAACATCTCTCATTATACTGCCATTATACTATTCAAATTTTTGTGACATCACTGCAGTCCAAATTGTCAAGCTCTCTGCTGTACAATAACACTTTTTTTCTCAGTGATATCATAATTAGCAGTTACATGACTGAATCCAATTTGACGGTAAACAGCTCTTGCTATAAAGAGGGAATAAGGAATAATCAAGAAAAATATTACATTGTGTAATGATGATAATTCACAAAATGAATCTGGCACATAACACTGTTTACCCCAGCATCGTTTTCCAGGTTTATTGAAAAACACACAACGTTTGTACTGTTCTAATTAGTCTCGAACTAACAAAAAAAGTTGCTGCCTTAATTTTTTATGTACAATCAACTTGATGTTCAAGTCATTTCAACTAAAAACGTAAAAAAAAATTAGATGAATCTTGTATACCGTAAAAGGTAAAAAGTTGAATATTGCTTAACCTATTTTGATGTGTTAAACAAAGCAATGTTAAAAACATGTTGATCATATAATTTTTACAGTGAATGCACTTTAGGAGAATTTGCTATTCCCTGCCTATACAGTACAAGCATTTATAGTTAATGCGTCACAACGCATTCCTGCTCATTATCTACTGACAGTAATGGAGCACATTGTGAACCATAAGCAAGAGAACTAAGTTTGACTAAGCCTTCAGTATAGATCAAAATAAAATACAAGAATGAAATCAGTCAATCCAAAGGCAAGATAAAGACAGACGTTTTAGATGAGAACAGCAAAACACTTTGTTTTTTTAATACAGCAATATTTATTTCTTTTCCATATTTAATTTGTGAGTCTGTCAGTTGTTCTTTGATATATATATATATGAAGAGTTCAGATGCAAAAGCCTCTAAATGCCATTTGAAATTTTCTTCTTTAATGATGATTTTTTATCAAACTTGTATATTTAAGTTCAGTAATTTCACTTAAATAACAATTAATAGGTAATTATCTTTGCCATTTAAGTGAAATTACTGAACTTAAATATATAAGTTTGATAAAAATCATCATTAAAGAAGAAAATTTCAAATGGCTTTTAGAGGCTTTTGCATCTGAACTCTTATGAAGAATTCTAAGGCCATCTAAAGTGTTTGTGTAATATTAACATTTTTATCAGGCTCCAATAGGTTTCTACTCAAGTAGCCTACCGGCATTTCTGAATGGACTGAGGCTGGAATTTACTGAGTTTGAAGTGAAAGTATTTGATGAATATTTATATCTTCATATATAAAATTGTAACAGTTGCGTTTATTTTGGGTGATCAAAACATCCTCCTTGGCTTCACATTTACCAAACTTGAGGCAACAGTTGCTGTTTTTTAAAGCACTGTTTGAGACTCTATTGTTTTGATCATTCAGTAACATAACACTGTACCACTGTACAGCTGGAAAAAAAAAACATTCAAAACAATATGATGCTACAAACGATATAAAGATATACAAGCATGATGATGATAATAAAAGAAAAACATTTTAGCAGGTATGGGCTACATTTTTAAATAAAGTTAATCTATATTATATTATTTTAATTAGCCTTATGTTGATGCATGCTTAGAACAGGCATTCATTTAGATTAATGTTTAGTTTTGGGGGAGAGAATTGTTCAACTGAATAATCTTTCTCATTGGAGAGCTAAAGTACTAGGCCACCAAACTTATTCAACTAAGTTATTCTAACATCACTAAATAAGTAAAAGGAGAGATGTATGTGGAAAACTTACTTGTGGTGATGGGTATGAAGGAGATGAAGAGGATCGCGAACATCAGGATGGAGTTGTGTGCTGGGCTCATCGCCCTCTGAGCTGCTTCGCGTTCACACTGACTGCTGTTCCTCATGCTCTCGTCTCGTGCGCGTCAGTCAGTCAGTTTGCGACGGTTCTTGTGGTGCTTTCTCGGTCTGACTTGCCAGCCCCAACATTATGAACTCTCGGAGTTACACACCCTCTTCGGAAATCGACCTGCAAAGTAGTCTACGTCACGACGAATGAGCCCCGGCACGTCATTAATTTACACAAACGATGATGTGATATGAGCGGTCAAGGCTATGAGTAATCAAAGTAAAATATTTAATCTTCAACTGGAGATTTGGAGATTAGTGTACTGTGTCTACACACGGTTATTTGTGTTAACATAAAAGGCATTTGGCTTTTACATAAATTCATGTAGCCTATACATTTTTTTAAAAAAAAAAAAAGTTGCCTGTTGAATAACAAAACGTTTGCTGAGGCAAACGTCCTGGTGTGAAAGTTTCCAAATGTAAGTCACACAGAAGACAAAACAAACAAACGATGAATAAAATATTGGTACCATTCTATTAAAGATTCATTAAATATGAATATGTTCATTCCTCTGGTTGACAACAGTCATTTGTAGACAAACACGTTGTATATCAAAGTAAAGGGAAGCATCTTTAATGGTGGGCAAACAAAATAATAAACAAGTAATGCAAACAAAGTAACAATGCAGGTATCTCTGTATCAGTTACGTTTCTCCAGTGTCTCTCTATGTGAGACATTTCAGCACCACATGATATGGACAGCTCCAGGCTAAAGTTGCACTGGAGTCCAATTACCAAAAAAAAATCACTCTCTCTATGATTCTCTAAATGCAGAAATGTGTGCCATATAGTAAGATTTAATCCTGTCCTAAACATGAAAGAAATCCTGTAAATTCTGTAAATGATTCAGACTATGATGATCATGTATGCTTAGTTATCTAAAACAAACTAATGAAACTTCCTGCTTGCCATTAATCTACTTTCATTTGTGCATGTTGTGCATGTTATATTAAACTTAAGTATTTTATACCGTGAGGGAATTGAACACCCAATGCTATTAAGTAAATTGTATTGAGTAAATTGTGGCAGGATATGGCAGGGATGAAATAAGCCTTTATGTTTAGTCAACAGGCATTGATGTCCTTTTCACAATTTTGTTACCTACATGCAAGTTTTCCCTTCCGATCATGGGTTTTTGACTGCATTGAAGTCACAAGGGAGTGCTTATATCACATTATTAAAATACATAGAAGGTATGCAATTACTTTAATCAAATTTACAATTAACTGGGAAGACAAAGGCTTTGGAGTGTCATAGAAAAACATAAAAGATTCAGCCTTTTGTAATCAGCTTTGTCCTATTTTTGAGGGTGTGGCTATAGCTCTTTTGAGTGGGATGTAGATACAGATAATACGATTGCACCAGTGTCTGTTTAATATCTCCTCATTATGAAAATGTCAAGCATTGGTGTCATGGGCTCTAGAGTGAGATTCTCAGCATTGGGACATGGCCTCACATTTCTGGCCATTTTCTAATGTATGTGTGTGTATGTGTGTACTTGAACAATGGAACTGTTCATATTCTGTTCAGTCAAAACATGCCTAGACAATGTGTCCACCTGTCTAGGTAAAATGAAGCCTGTGGAGCATGCGTATAGGGGGAGGTGTGCTGAGTTTGTGTGCTTACCGCCGCACATCATGAGGCACACGGGAGAGTCAGATTTGATTCACAGTTAAGCATAGCGCCACTGGGAAATATCGGCTAAATATCAAAGTGAATAAATAATCAGTGAATATCCTTTACAAGAGGGTTATTGCTGGAGTTTTGGAGGACTGGGACTGGATGACTGAGTAGCTTCAGCCTGACTGAAATAAATACCATGAGAGCTTTTGCACAGGTTAAAGAGATAATTTATTTGGCAAGAGGGACAGAAAGGGAATGAGGTATGAATGAAATTATGTGGATTAATAAAAAACCTGGATAAAAACTCGCTGCAGAGTTAAAACAGTAGCAGTGAGCAACAGTTGCTCACCAAAGTGAGGACTGTCACCATATATGTGATTGCCTTTGTAGTTACACCACATTTTTCACACTAATATCATAATCTGATCACCTATCCATTTCTAAAATGTTGGTACTTTTTCTCCAAACCTCTTAAAATCAGGAAACCAAGCAATTTAATACCAATTTAACAAAGGCACCAACAATATTAGTTTTATTCTTTTTTTTGTCTTTTTGTCACTTTTTCTGTTGAATAACAAAATAGCTTTATTTTATAAATGGTTAATGTATGGTTCTGTTTTAAAAAATGATTTTTTTGTCCCATTAAAAACACTTTTTTGGTTTCAGAATAAATTATTCAGGCCAGATATTATTCTGAATCAGCCAGAAAAAACAAATGCACTTTTAAAGGTTACATTCACCAAAAAAAAAAAAAAAAAAAAAAAAAATTTACTTGACCTTAAGATCCAAATGTATGTTATTACAGGACCAAAAAAATAAATAATAATAATAAAAAAAGTGTTAATGATGAGGATTGTAACTGTTAAACCCCAAAATCTTTAAAGTACCACAAGTCTGTAAGCTTTATGAAGCCATTTATAGTCAGGAAAGTGCAAAGCGTGTTGGCTTTATGGACAGGGCGGATTTACTTATTGGGCAGTTGGGTAACTTGTGGTCTCTATGACCCAGGAGCATCACAGGAAAAAATATGATTCAGATTTAAGCTGACCTATAGGTGATTTAAGCATGACTCACACAACAAGTTTATTAGCGATAATCTCTGCTGTCCTACGTATTCATTCCCCCTATATGAACCAACTACACCCTCAAAAATACATTTTCCCAACAGTTTTTAGTTTGCACATAAAGTTATGTCTGTTGGATCATTGACACATAATGTCAAACATGTAGCATCAGAGTAATTTGCCATCTGGAGAGTAGATGTTGTTCCTGACTCTTAATATCAGTACATCGAGAGCTCTTATGGGCTGTTATTACATAACACATGTTCAGATTCTTTATCACTCTTTAAATTAACTCTCTAAAACAAACTGGGTCTGGTTGTTTTTTCCAAACAGTTTAAAATGTTCCTCAAATGCTCTTTATACCTTAAAAATATCCTTCAAAATGAGTCAGACGACCTAAACGACAAACATTTCTGGTTTTATTGACCATGTAGCCCCGCCCCTTTTCAGCGTTGCGCTCGTTGTCTTTTGACTTCCGGTCTGTATTTTCATAGCGATCTTGCATAGGTACGAATGAACTGCTCGTTAAAAAAATTCCCTGTGGACATTTGTTAAGACATGCTTTACAATACTTATTATAAACATTAATGCTCATGATAACTTTTGTTAAAGAGCACATTATGGCATTTAAAATGTTCCTGTTCTGGGAGTCCCCAACAACAGTTTTACATGAATGCAATGGCAAAAAACACTTTTGTTGTCTTATAATATGCATTTATTTTTACCTGATTTGCTCATCGACTCCTACAACGAATGAAATCAGTACAACAATTCGTACAACGACTCGTTTTTCCAAACCACTCCTATGCGTGATGCTATGACCCAGTCAGTTATTGTTTGTTAGCCCAACGCATGAACATATTGATAAAGCACTGCAGTACTACAAGACGCTCTATTCTTTATGACAACTCCAATAACAGCGACAAACATTTCACATATTTAAAAAAAATTAACATTGGAGACCTAGAAGCTGCGCTGAGCGTAACTTACACACACACAACGTTACTTGCGCCTTCCCTCCTCACTACAAAACCCATAAAAGCAACAATTATTAATAATAATACTTACAAGTTGTGATTCGGAGGAGGAAGCTGATCCATACACTGTGGGGTGGGGGTACTGAGCCCTCCTTCAGGAACAACCGGCTTGCGAATCCACATTTGAATTCATTTATGTTTTTGAATAATTCGTCATGAAAATGATGAGAACACAATAGGACTATGCTGTTGTTGCAAACAAATAGGAATAAATAGGTCTAACAGGAGCTAAACTACACACAATAATACTCTGCTAACTAAATCAGAACACTCATGCCCCATACACCGCACGACCCAGAGTGCTCCCACAGGTGGAGAATTAGTTGAATTAACTATAGCAATAAGTTTTCTATTGCCTTACACATCTCTCTCCATGACGGTGAGAGACACATTTTTACATTAGGCAGTAAATGAACCAAGAACATCTGATCTAACTTGAACATTAACACACATAACTTTACTATCACAAAAACTTAAAGATCTTAAAGAACTGCAATATTAACTCTCAATTAAAAATTACCCATAATGCACCCAGCTGCTAGCACTGACTGCCAGGTCATTACAATATATTTATCCACCAACCTGCAGCAGTTGTCTTTGCCTACTTATACTTGAGTTTACATTTTTTAAATGAATTTGACTAATAAAAAGTGTGCATTGGTGCTTTATTCCTGTCTTTTTTAAATAGTTGAATGAATAAATGATCGCGAGGTGTGATCGTAGATCAGAACACCCGCAGCATAGAGTTGAATGAGTCAAAACTCTGAAAATGAATTAAGCATTTTGGTCATGAACATGTAAATAGTAAAACGATTGACATTGAAAAATGACATTGAATGATTACAATATTTAATCCAAATAAATGTTCTTGTTTCGTACTGACGTTGTTCATCTGTTCTCACCAACGTAGACGAACACTGACACCCTGAGGTGAAATAATGCACTGATATAAAATGATTATATAGAATCTTTATATAGATCAGTGAAATAATAGCGTTTTTTTTTTTTTTTTTTTACTGCCGCAGCTTTCTCGGATTGGCTTGGTTTGGATTTAAACTTCATTTTCCAATGAGTTTTGAAAATTCTGCACACACAGTAAACATCAGAATATCCCTTCTTCTGTCAAGAAATTTTCCAAAATATAAAACTTTATTACAGACACTCATTTAGGTGGTGTTTGTTCAACTCATTGACGATTGACTTCAGTACATTGAAGTGATATGTAAGTATTTCCAAATGGAAGTGCGTCGTGAAGCTCAGTGCAAGTAGTCCATATTTTAAAGATGATATTTTAAAGACGTTTCTCTGGTGCATAAGGTCTATCCACAGGTTTCCAGGGGGCGCTCCTGTAAAAAATA